GATGCTGGCTTTGGCGGTCTTCCTTCTGCCTGTGGGAAGGAGGGCAAAGTTAGAGTGATGTGGGAATTAAGTGAGTGTGTACAGAAGAAAAAACTGTTTTAGGCAAGAAGAGGAAAACAAGATGGAAAGCTTGCAGAATAAACGTTTTTAACTCTCAGATCTTACTTACAGGAACATGAGAATTAAAGGAATAGCACACCCAAATATGATATTACTTTCTCTCATGTTGTGAGGAACAGATCAGAATTCTGATTAGAAGGTTTGAAAATCTTTTGTCGGCTGTAGCTGTCAAATCTTATTTGTTATCATATTAAAAATGCAGGGTTATTATAGTTAACTAAAACTAAAATAAACATTTTTGTTATTTGAAATAAATTGGTAAATGAAATAAACAAATGCTTTTATTTCGTTTAATTTAGTTTAACCTGAGGTACTGAAATTTAATTAAATTAACTACAAAAAATTACAAAAAGACTACAAAATGTAATTATTATTAACATAAAAAGAAATACAAACTAGTAGCATCTCATTCATACAGAATGATTATAAATGATTTTAGGTATTTTAAAAAGCTGAAATAAAATAAAATATTAATAAACATGGAAACTAGAAATGAAAACTGAAAAAGTACTAAAATTACTAAAACAAAAAATAAATTAGAAGTATAAAAAACCCTAGCTTAATCTAAATGACAAAAGCACATAACTAAAAATAAAAGCTCATTGATAATATTAATAAATATATACAAAAAAATTTAACAAAACACCATTGATGATTGTGAAAAATGGGGCTGAAAGACAAGAATAATATTAAAACTAAAATATTACACTTCATCCCACTTTCAGTTCACAATGGTTTTTGGTACTAAGCCCACAAGAATATTACATTAATTGAATAATGTTTGTCTAGTCAATAATTAATTTACAACAGCAATATATTTTCACACTAGACGTTCTACGTTCACACGTTTTTCTCGTGTCTCAATTTTGGGCACTCATGTAATGCCCTATTGGACCAGAGAGATATAAAAATGGCTTTTCTATGTTCTCATAAACTCCCTCATTTGGATGGCAATCATTGGAATTTAAAGTGCACAATAAATGCAGTTATTGCAAATAATCAAATTAGGGTCAGAATTATCAGGCCTATAGACTACATACAGTATGAAAAAGTTAAGGTTTGACTACAGAACACATCTGCAGACTTCAGAAAAATGTGCATGGATTACATTTATGATACTTATTGGCAAACTTGTGTGTTTGCGCCAAAAAAAGGTTGATGACATTTAATCAGCCTATTTATTTCTTTACCATCTGCAACGCTGAAAGTGACTCCCTGTGGGTCGTACTGCAGGGCAGGAATCTCGTGTTTACTGGACTGAACCTCCAGCTGTTTGCGGAACTTCAGAATGAACTCCTCCTCCAGAGAGCAGTAGGGCATAGACAACAGCTTCTCCATCAGCTGGATCATCCGCATATACTACACAAAACAAGATAACGTGCTTAGTTTGCCAACATTACCCTCTAGTGTTTCCATCCTGAATTATACTCTTCACAGGATTCGTGAAATGTACACGTTCTTACATCATGATCTGAAATGTTCTCCACCAGATACTCCTCAATTTCCTCTTTTAATAGCCACCTGCTCCCAGTCAGCAATCTGTGAGGAAACGAGCACAGTCAAGCCATCAAAATCATCTCTTTCAGGGAAAATCAGCATTTTAAAAATGTTCTTCACTAGATTGATTCCTAATTTAATATTCTAATATACCTAGCACTATATATTACAAATACATTTGGCTCTGCGACAAAGTGCTTTTGCCATCTTCTTTTTCTTGCAGGAAGTTTTGAAGCGCTCACATTTGTTTGGTTTCTGACGTGAAGAGGCCTTTATTTCTCATATTGTCCTGGTGTCTTTCCATCGCCAGAATCTTCTCATAGACATCCTAGATTAACAGAAGAGAGAAATGATTTTTTTTTTTTTTTTACTGAAACTGAACTTTTTTTTATTTAGCCGAAAACTGAAACTGAAAATAAAGCTTAATGAATTAATTAAATGTAGTTTTAAACAAACTATGCATATCTGTATAAAAAAATTAAATTGCACAAAGCAGATTTTAGCTCAACGTTTTAAAATAAAAGTTTCTACTCCAATTTAAGTAATAAAACACATTCATGACAGATTTATTCAAACAAATTAAATAATGAAGAGGATCAAAAAATATAATGAATAGGTAATATAGTGCATACTGTATATTCAGCTAAATTCTCCTCTCTAGAGTTTTTTTTCTAGATACTTTTTTGACATCTTTCCATGGCTGAAACACTGATTGAGCGATTACATTAGACATGATACAATTTATTAAGTTGTACTGGTTCTGTCAACATACCTTCTTATGTTTATTCATGTTTATTTTGTGCTATAACTAGTAGTAAAGAGTAGGTTTGCTGCGATAGACTGTGTTGGCGATGATACCGTTGTTAAGCCGCAACACCGGTTACACCACTTGCCCACCGCGGCACCACCCGCGTTTTGATTTTTTATAGTAATAAAAATCATTTAGTTCAGTTAGAGAACAGACTCTACAATTAAAAACTAAACGTGGCTACTTAATGCAGCGTGCCAAACGACAGTCACATCTAGGGCTGGGTATCGAGTTCGATACTTTTTAGGCACCGACCGAATTGCCTCGATACCATCGAGTATCGAAAAACGTCTTGTCGTTTGGTACCAAATTTCGATACCTAAGGGGTTAATCTCATCAGCGTCAGTGAGCCAATAAACCTGCAGCACTTGCCGGTGTGTTCAACTAGAAGAGGTGCGGCGCAGATCGATCATCCGCAAGAGCAATTCGAAAGCGCAAGGAGCAGTCTGCTCTCTGTAGCTCTCGTGGTACTGTAATACCACCAGTATAGAGTAGCGCGGGAGCTGCGTGGAGTTCCGATCATATGCAGATGTCCGTTCATATTAACGTTACGCGACTGAAAGCGCGTGTTATGTGACCATTCATGCAAACTGTAGCATCATGCTACATAAGA